TGCAGATGCACTGCCGCGGTCAGGCGGAAGGGGGAGGTGCCGCTGACCCGAGTGAAGGACACTGGCAGTGGCTTGCCCAGCGGTTTCGTGAATGGAGATGGCGGAGGGCAGCGGTCCACTCCAACCCTAGCGGTGACGGCCAGCAACGTCTGCGGCGACTACAGCTACGTCTGATGAAGTCCGCCCTCCCGCAGCCCACGCGGTGGCCTGAAATGTGGGAGGCCTGGCGCTCCCTGGTACGACGACTGGACCGTCTCAGCGAGGACGGCCTTGACCACTTGCTACACGATTTAGAGAAGTGTGCCGACCGTGCGGCCAGCCAAGCCTCATATCGGCGGTGCAAGGCGTGGGTGGACTGGTCTCACGACTCCACTACCGACGGCGGCATGCGGCGTGCCTTCAAGTGGATCAAGCAGGATGCCCCGTGGGCGTGTACCAATGCAACGGCAGGGCCAGGCGTCGCTAAGTCTATCGCGGACGAGGCGCGCGACGCTGTTCAACCTTGGCACGACCTATGGGGACAGGGCGAGGGCATCGGGGCAGTACTCTGGCCCGACGACATCGGCGTGATTGAGCTGCCGACGATCGACGACATTCGGAAGACGGCGCACACCTTCAAGTCAGACGCGGGGCCGGGCTGTGATGATGTTCACCCTCGCCACATGATTTTTCTCAGCGATGAAGCCCTTCAGGCACTGCTGACGCTCTGGGGTTCGATGCTGCAGCTGGGCCATATCCCAGCCCCAATTCGTGTTATGCGAGAAGCGCTCCTGCCGAAACCTGACGGAGGACGGCGCACGATCGGCATCTTCCCTGGCACGGTGAGGCCGCTGACACGAGGGCCAGAGCTGCGAGGCATGCGCTTGGCGGCAGGCTGCTGCGGGCGAGTGGGCCACGTATAGTGGTAAGACCTGCTTGTCCATTTTGCTGGACCTGTCCAAAAAAGCATACGAGTACATCAGCTGGCATCGTCTGACTGCTCGAGTAAACGAACTTGGGTTCAACACGTGTTTGTTACGGTTGCTGGTCAAGCTGTACGCCATGCCAAGGCTCCTCTCGTGCGAAGGCATGGTGTTTGACATGATGACGCCCATGCGCGGCGTGGTGGCTGGATGCTCCTTCGCAGATCTGATGATGCGCACATTCCTCATTCCCATTTTGGACGACCTGGTGATGCTACCTGGGATTTCAGTCGGCAACGTGGTCGACGACATCCAGATGCAGGCCACAGGCGCGAGGGCCACCGTGGTGCAGCAGCTCAGCAAGGCATATCGCCAAGCTAGGAGTGCCCTGCAAGACGCCCAGCTGCTGCTGAACGAGAAGAAGGGCAAGCTCGTCGGCAACGGCTTCCAAGCCAGCGTGGACCTCGGCAAGCGCTGCCCCTCGCTTGTGCAGGCGAGGGGCCAGTCGACGCGCAACTTGGGCTGCGACTACAGTTGCCTCAAGCGGCACGGCATGCAGACGCGGCTGGGGCGACTGGGCAATGTAATACGGCGCAGTGTAAAAATCAGGGCACTCCCGCAGGGCCAGGGGTAAATGCAAGCAGCTTGTCAGCATGGGCCTCGTTCCTGCTGGAACTTGGGGCGACGGGGTCACAGGAAGATCCTGGAGCGGGGTGATGGCCCTCAGGAGGGCCGCTCGGGCTGCCCTGGTCCCCCACGCGGCCCGCAGATCCCTCGCCATCGATTTGGCGCTGGTTCCTGGAGATACCACGGCGGTCGACCCCGCTTACCTCTGCACGGTGAACCCCATCATGATGCTTGCACAGGCCTTCTGGGACTCCTGGATGCCTCGGGAGATCCTCTGCCGCATGCTCCTCAACGCGGATAAGTCCCTTCGGGAGGCCCGAACACCGTGGAGTAAGGTCGTGGGCCCCGTCTCGGCTGCGCTGCGTGTTTCAGGATTGGGTGGACTCTTGGTACTGGCGTGGGGAAGCTATGTACGGCCGATTGTGTAGTGCTTGATCTGTGTCGTGAATGCCCCCGAACCGTGAGGATGGTTGCCCAGTGGGGAGTCGAGGCATGGCTCCTCGACAAGGCCCGCTGCGAAGAAGACTACCTCCAGTCCCTCTCCCATGGCCCCTACCTCGCTCCTCTCAAAGCTCTCGTGTCCAGACGCACTGATGACGGCTGGACTGGCATGCGCAAGGCAACGTTTCGGTGTCTGGCTGCCAATGGGTTCTGGGGGGATGAGCGGCTGCACAGCGCTGGTCCAAGGGATGGCCCAATGTGCCCGCTCTGTGGGGAGGCGCCTGGGACGGTGGGCCACTGGTGTTGGGGGGATTGTGCGTGCACTTGGGCTTTCCGGCGCGATTGCCAAGTGCCACCTTCCCTCCGAGAGGGAGCTTTGAACCATCCCGACTGGCCCCTGTGGTGCCACGGCCTCGTGGCCGACCCTCGACCTTGGCTTCCTCGTCCCACGATGGATCTGCTCGTTCACTGGCGTGTGCGCCCTCCCTCGGCCCTCGGGGGCCTTTGAAGGCCCGTGCTTCGGCGATGGCTCGTGCAGTTCTCTTGTGGCCACGGACCCCAGGCTGCGTTGAGCTGGATGGGGGGCGGTCCAGGTGAATTCGAGTGGTTTGGACGTTTTGGCCTCGTTGTGCGGCCCCCTTCCCAGGTTTAAGCCAGAGCTCTGAGGTGGCCGAACTGTTCGCTTTCAAGATGTATCTTGAGAATGTCGGTCCAGGCCATTGTGAGTACCTCTCTGACTGTGATTGGGTGGTCTCGAGCTTCCGCAAGGGTCGCTGTGAGACTACAGGCGCCATGCACGCCTGTGCCGACCTTTGGGAGGGGGTGTGGGACCGTGTGTGCGACTTGGGGGGCGAGGTTGTGGTGACCAAGGTCAAGGGTCATGCGCGAGGGCGCGGTGATGACCTTGATGCGGGTGCGAGATGGCGGCGGCTTGGCAACAAGGCTGCTGATGAGGCGGCGCGAGCTGGCGTCGGCCTCCACCCCTCTGATCAGGTGGCCGAGGATCGCGTGATCCGTTCTTTTAGGTTGGTCCAGTATGTTGGAAAGTACCTGGCCAGGACCATCCGTGAAGCGGGGCCAGGCCTGGCGGCCGCTTCCCGCCGTGAAGTGGGGCTCAAGAGGGGGCGGCGAATCGTCCCTCGGCTCTCGGACGATGCTGTGCCTCCCGAGGGCTCCCACGACCCTGTCTGGTTTCCTAAGGGCGGCTTCATGTGCATCAACTGCCTGCGCTCGGGGGGCACGGTCCAGATTCTGAAAGCCACCTCCTGCAAGCCAGGGGTGGGCCACCGCGTCTGGACGGTGGGCCCGTTTGTGTTCTGTAGTGTCTGTGGTGCCTACAGTGAGCACAATACCCAGAAGCTCGGTCAAAGTTGCCGCGGAAGCTGCCCGCGTGGGTCCGTGGCTTGGGACCGCCTGCGTAAGCTGTGGCGCGGCTGCCGCCCTCGCAGTGGGATCGAGCTTCGGGTCTCGGGAGTCGGACCCCGCCCCACCCCCTTTGGCTCATTCGCCCTCGACCGCAAATTTAAGGGCCTGGAGGTCCTCCCTGGTTCCGAGGATGCGGATGATGCTTGAGGCGTGGTCGGTCCTGGGTCCGTTCCCGTTTTAGTTTTGTATTTTCCTGACGGGGGCACTCGTCTCCCCTCTCCCTCCTCCTGTCCCCCCCTGGGAGGTGCCCGTCAGCCACCCTTTTCGCGCCCTAAGCGCGAGGCCACTGGCTGCCAGTCTTGACTGCACCCCTTGGCCCCACCAGCACAAACTTCCCCCCTTCATCCTCCAAGTCTTCCTCCTTGTTTCTCCTTCCTCCTTCTCTTCTTCCTCCTTCTTCCTCGTCTTAATCCTCTTCCTCCTCCTCTTCCTCCTTCCTCCTCTTCTTTCTCGAAGTCTTCCTCGGATTCCTTCCTCCTCATCTTCCTCTTCTTCCTCCTCTTCCTCCTCCTCTTCCTCCTCCTTCTCCCCATTGCTTGTCCACCCCGTCACCTCCCCCCCGTCCGTCGCCCCTCGCTCCTTCCTCTTTCCCACGTCATTCTTGTAGCCTCTCCTCCTTCTTCCTTCTCTCCTCCTCTTGTCCACCCCTTTCTCCAATCCCTCCTTCGTTTCCCCCCCTTCTTCCTTCCCCTCCTCGTCATTACCGTCTTCACTTTCGTCCTCCTCCTCTTCCTCCTCTTCACTTTCCTCGTCGTCGTTCTCCCCCTCCTCCCTTTCCTCCCTGCCGTTCTCCTTCTCCTGCCATCATCTCCGTCGTCATGTTCGTCGTTATCGGCGTTGCCATCTTCTTTCTCTGCCTTTTTTTCCCCCGTCCTTCCATCCCGTGTCCCTCTCTTCTCCGTGCCCCTCCTCACCTTTCCCTCCCATCCTCGTGCGCCTCATGTTTTTTTCCTTCTCCGTGCCATCGTTCTCCTGCTGCACATCTTCCCGCTTCTATTCCCCCTTGTTCTCGTCCCCGTCGTCCTCTTCCTGCCTGTTCCTACGTATCTCTCCTTTTCCTCTTCTTCCTCTTTCTCCTCCTCTTCCTCCTGCTTCTCCTCCTCCTCCTCCTCCTCCTCCTCTCCTTCTCTTCCTTTCTCTCATCATCATCCCCGTCTTCCCCCTCCCCCTCCCTCGCTTTCCTCGTCGTCTTTCTCTCCCTTGTGCCCCTTCTCGCCTTCCTCCCTGCCGTTCCCCCTCTTCTGCCATCCTCTCCGTCGTCATCGTCGTCGTTGTCGGCGTCCGCATCCCCTTCCTCTGCCTGTTTCCCTTTCGTCCTGCCTCTCCATATCGTGTCTCTCTCGTCTTCTTGCTCCTCCCTGCCTTTTCTGTCCGCCTGCTGCCCATCCTCCCGCTTCGATTCCCCTCGTCCTCGTCCTCGTCGTCCTCCTCCTCCCTGCTCCTACCCCTATTTCTTGTTCTCCTCCTCCTCCTCCTTCTCCCCCTCCTCCTCTTCTCATCCTCCCCGCCCTCCTCCTTCTCATCTCGAACATCTTCCTTTTCCTATTGCCCCCCCCCCGCCTCTCTCGTTCCCGCTCCTGCGCCCCGCTGTCCCGGGCGGCCGAG